GCTGAGATGGGGGGGGGGGGGAAGAACATGCACATGATGGACAGATTTCTGTGTCATCTTTAGCTTACCTATGGTTTTGTAACATTTCTGATTTTCCTATCATTCACTACCCTAGATAATTTCAAGCTGAAAAACCATGTTCACATAACTGCTGCATATTAATTAACTGAACATTAAATACAATTTAAGTTTATTAAGAAATGAAAAGAAAAACGTTAAAAAAGCCTTCTGACAAATATTAGAAACATTCAAACATCAGTTCATACCTTCTACAGCACATATTTTGAGCTTCTGGGTGTCTGGATGTCTTTTGATGAGAATGCTGGCATTTGTATTTTTCTTGATTTCCTGGACAAAGCAGCCATGACGGCCTATGAGACGACCAACCAAATGCTGTGGCAGGACAAATTCATATACAGATGACAAGGGAACATCACCAGATAGAGAACTTCCACTGGCTGGTGTGCGTGAAGGTGGTGTTGCCACATCACTGCAGCCTTTACCACTGTCACTTGAACCCTGTAGAAATAAGCGTGACCTAAATTAACTTACAAATAAACACTGCAATTAAGTGTCAGCATTCATTAAATATATACTACAGGACATCTGACTATGAGGGTAAGTCCATTCTTAATAATGTAACGTGTTTGGAGTAGGTACTTCCATTGTAGTGCAATAAGAGCAAACTGTTGAAATAGTAGAAACGGAACCGTGAGAAATGGTGTCTGGTATCCAGTCCACATAACCCCTATAAAAGCAGAGCCAGAGACAACACAGACGAGAACGAGACAATCTTGGGATAGCCGCCACCAGAGACAGTTGAGATCCAACCATGGCCAAGGATAGTTGAGATGTCGCATTAGAGTATTGGGCCAGAAGTCAAGTGACACTGCAAGTGATAATAATTGTAAGGTGTGTAAGAGTGAGTGTCCAATAAACATTCGCTAAATCCGAGACCCACGTGAAGTTATTTGTCGTGTGACATACCCAACACGTGACAATAATAAAACTCACACAAAACACAGACAACCATAACTCTAAAATAAACTGTAATGCATCCAAAGAAATTAAATTAAGTCATAAAAAATATCAGCAGCATAATTCATAATTACCAGCAGGTAAATTTTAGGTTAAACACAATTTCATCCCCTCAGATGAACTAAAGCCAGGATTTATATTAACTTAACCCAGAATATCATGTAAAGTATATATTTTCATTAATGCCATTTACAGCTAATGTAAAATGGTACTTGTTGCCTGTGCAGTGGTCAATGATGTCAGGTAGTCTTTTCACTGACATAATATTTTGGTGTGCCACCAGAAAGCCGAATGATTGTGGAGATCAGGGTTGATTTCCTAGGCAATGAGTGACGTTCCCGCTACAACTGCTTCGAAAACTAGGAAAACTCATAGCGACGACAGAATACGTGAAACGGAACCCTTGAACAAGGTGTCTTCTAGTCATCTGATGGTAGGGTATAAGGAAAGACCACGTGTGGAGGCGGGTTCGAATACCTCCACTGTGACCTTGCGAGTTGTAGGAGGTGACGAAAAGGGAAGTCTCAAATTTGAGACAATAATATATGGTCTTGAGTACCAAGGGACTCAGACCCAAGAAAGACTGCGCTGGCAAAGACCAGCAGCATATACAGAAGACAGACCGTCCTCTCGTCAGAGAGGGTGTCCACAAAAAAACAAGACCGTAACTGTCAAACAGTAATAAAGATCTAGTCGCAAGCCCCAGGTGGGTACTTTATGCCAAGACTGACCATCGGTTGTAAAATGAGACTCAGACTCATTGAGACCAGATTACAATGAGCCGAGATTAGCGGTGAAAGAAGCATTGTAACATTGGAGAGGAAATGTCTGACAATGTTATAAGTGGAATAATTGTAAGTGTGAGTGTAAAATGACTGTCCAATAAATATTCGTTCTGATCCGAGAACCCAAACAATTTCTTGTTGCGTTGAACACGCGACAATATTTTCTCAGAAAGGGAGAAACAAAAGAGCAGTCACTTTTGTTTGTGACAGTACACCAACCCAGGCAGTCCCCAGATGATATATGCATGGCCAAGTCCCACTGAAATTTGCATCAGTTGCACCTACTGAACAAACATGAGGGATCAAACACATTGTATGTGCACATAGATTCAAACATATTACAAATCAAAAATGCAACAACCAAGAATACAAATCCCTGCAATAAAAATTCAAGTGCATTATAGTTAAATTATTGCTGAGCACTATTTACATTCAACAATATTCGTTTAAGTACTGCATACATAAATTTAATTATTCTTTTCCATTATGAACCTCTCTTTGACCTATGATGAAAAATACATCTTCTTGAAAACCTGTAAAATGATTTTTCATTCACAAGTCTTGCAACATATCAGCATTAATCTGAAGGCACATAAGTGACTGATACAGCCTTCCTGTGTATTTGGTCATATCTTACATCTTAATGCATATGTGGAAAGCCCATTTGCAGAAACAAATGTCGAACATTAATATTCAAATACATTTTACATACCTCAGAATTTCATGGGGTCATATATTAACAAACATACATAACAGGCATTTGTCTTGTAATGAAGTTGATAGATACATATTTATCCCACTTGCCATTTCCACATACAACTTTAATTTTGGAAAACGTGGAACTGTTTACTTGTACCCTGCAGAGATGTTGGGTTTTCGGACTTTATCCATCATCCTGGTTTTTAAGATAACTAAGAAAAACACGACGTTTCGGAAACTGGATCTGTTTCCATTCTCAGGTGAGGAAAAACACCTATTCTGTTGGGTCCCTTAGAAAGAGCTAGCCTCAATCACTGGGTCCAGTGTAACTTGATATGGGAATAGGTGATAATTCCAAAACACATGATTACTACTTTATAACCTATAGAAACCATTATGAAATTTGTAGAAGATTCTGAGCACAAACATTACAGTAAGAAACAAATATGAGAACACAGTAAGTCCAGATGTTTTGTACCTTACTCTGTACGATGTGTCTTGTATCTATGCGTGGCCTGTGATCATGGCACTGATAAGAATTATTTCACACAATGTAACATGTTACCAGTAAAATGTGTGGCTTTCTTGAGGGTAAAAATTTAGATTGTAATCGTCTGGGTTATGGCTCTGTGTAGCTTTCTTGTTAAGTGGTTCCTCTGAACCACTAGTAACCAACTACCAGTGACACTACACGGTACCACAACCCAGAATACTATAATTTAAATTTACTGGGGATTTCTGCAAATAAAAGACCCTTGAAAATGGCAAATGAAGATGGTGGTGACAGGGCTGAAGGTACTGGTGAGCAAGGTAAACATTTAAACACTGTCATTAAGGTAATAATGGTAACACAAAAATATACTTGACATTTGGACTTCTAAAACAGTCTTACTGAAACCACAACATGTTTGGAACAAAATGGTGAACTACAACAGAGGAGATGCATGTCCTCTTCAATCAAAATCATGCGAATCCTAAAACATGAATAATTTTAAGCGTCAAAGATATTTACAGTCACATGTTAGGCAATTCTTCTTTTCTGTCTACTTTTTACATTCAAATCCACTTCTGGAATTATAGTGAATCAAATTTTAAAGGTTCTGAAAGGATATTGATTTTTTAAACTGTGATTACATAAAAATAATTTTTCATTTTATTTTCAGCATATTGTGCAGGATCTGATCCTGACGGTGGTTAACTGTTCACCTGCTTCCTTTCCAACTGCATAAGAGATAATGTGACAATCAGTGTAGAAAGATTATAAAGGATGTGAAACTGGTAGTAGTATATTTCAAGGAAACTGATTACAGGGTCTGACAAACACCAAGTACAACCTATGTAAGGACAGCTGGTTATCAGGCTAAGCATCAGTTTTGGGAATTCCCGATATAAAGCAGAAATATTACGAACACCTAATACTGCAATATTTGGTAAAGTTTTGTTAGGATACAGACTAAAGACTGCTTGTTCATAAATATCTGAAACTTATCTCTACTGAATACAATGTAATCAGAATTATAATAATTCNTTCTTGGAGGGAAGGGCAGTCCAGTGCAGAACATTTCAAATTTGGGTTGTGTTGGCATGGAATAGGATCCTTGATAATAGTAAAGGACCACACACCTGTTGTCCTGAATTTAGCAATTTGGGGCTATAATGTGTAGATTGGGAAATACAGTGCGTACAATCAAGTGCGCGCCGCGGCTGCAATTTGCCGTGAGTCATACCACCGCAGAACGGATGCAGTCGCGGGGAGGAGTTGCAACACTCCCCGCGACTGCATCCGTTCTGCGGTGGTATGACTCACGGCAAATTGCAGCCGCGGCGCGCACTTGATTGTACGCACTGTATTTCCCAATCTACACATTATAGCCCCAAATTGCTAAATTCAGGACAACAGGTGTGTGGTCCTTTACTATTATCAAGGATCCTATTCCATGCCAACACAACCCAAATTTGAAATGTTCTGCACTGGACTGCCCTTCCCTCCAAGAAAACAGATACAAATCTATAAGAGTTCCAGGATTAAGACAATCTGAATAAACTCCTAAAATACCACAAGATAAGAGAAGTATCTCTTTAATGAACTATTAATATTGTAAAAGATAATCAAATGTTATCTCTCCCACTGGAGACATGTGTCACAGCATATCATGGGAAATGCCACATGAACAAATCTCAAACAGAGCACTATATAAACCTATGTCAATTGCATTTTTCTGAAGCAATTTAGCTAAAACGCAATTTTGTAAAATCCTAACACATCTTACCTCAGCCCAGGGCCTAGAATTTAGGATTAAATTAAAGAGGCTTAACATCTGAAACCATTCTACATAAAACTGCTAGCCAACAAAGCAACCTAGGACTCAAAATATCTGCAGCATTTCACATGAGCTACCAAATCCCACAGAAGTATAACAGGGCAACTTAAGCATTAAAAATCATTTACAGCTTTTACAGTACGTTTATGTAGGGGTACATTTAAATGGTGATGGTGAATCGCAAAGCTGCAAGCAACACACAATTTTGATCTCTGCCCCTTCATATGGAACTAGTTAAATCAAAGTATGAGCAATCAGGTGACTTGGAGAGAGTGGCTGGTGTTGTGACTACCTAAAAGCATACAACTTAATATATGCTTGACTTGATCCACTGAAAAAGAAACTGTCTGCCTTACTACAGGAATCTGTGCAATTCTGTAGTAATTTTAAGAACAGAAATTCATATTGCTTCACAAGGAAACCTCAAACTATGTGCACTGACCCTTTATCAGAATGAATGTTATTTAAGAACGTTTTTTACTTGCAGAGATATTGAATGCTATATGAAAGCCACGTGAGGATGGTAAACTAAAAAAGTTGTTGTGGTGTTCTACAGGTACCAATTCCAGAGTTGTCTGACAGGACCAAGGAAAACCATTATTTATTTTCAGTCAGGATAACTCATCTTCTGGCATAAACTCATGTTTAAAACCATGGAACTCAAATTGAATTATGTAATCATCCTTCGTCTGGTCACAGCACCAAGACTTAGGTGAATGTAGACAGTAACTGAAAATTATCTAGAAACCGTGATAACTAGTGTCATCAGGGCATAGTATAAAATTTATTAATCAGAAGTTTCTGGAAAAATGTGACTGGAGTTCATTTCCACATGCGTTATATAGGGAGGTTCTTACCTTTGTTGACCAGTTCACTTCTCTGTGCTTCATAGCGACCGGTGCACCGCTAGCTGCGAGGTGCATACAAAAATATTTGAACTCCCACCCTTCAGAATATGAATGATTCATTTGCATTCAATCTTAGTATGGTTTCAACCCACTTTGATCAACAAGCCTGCATAATGCTTTAGCCCATTATAGCCTACACTACAAGTTTTCATCACATATATGACATTATTTTGAATTTTGGTTACTGTAGTAGTTGCTATGTATGCCTGTGGTATAAAGTAATCCTTCTGATGTGAAGATCTGTTAAACTAACAAAAATGGAAATGATTAAACCAAACATCAATATATGACAACTCACACATCTTGAATTGCTACATACAGCTTTCCCCTGAAGGAAGAGTGAAAATCTATGCTAGCAACAGAACGAAACATATTCAAGATTACACAGTATTTAACAGCAACTGTTGTCTTAATACCTGCAAAATGATCAGACAACATGAAGATGACAGATTCATGTAAATCTTTCATTGCCAGTATTCAGGTGCTCTAAGCTGCTAAAGAAAGAGATATGTTAATTTTGTTGAATTTGGAGGTATTATGATAACAGCTGCCTTTGGGAATATAAACAGTCTGCATGAAACAGTACCTCACTATGTGCATCAGAATAGCTGCTTATGGACGGACTGGCAAGCATTACATCAGCTGGACTGTGATTTGCAGAGTCTCTTTCAGTTCTTTGCAGTTCAGATGCCACCGAAATACTCCCAGCCATTGTTCCATTTGTTGATATACTACCTGCATCAGATGATGCCTCTCCTGTTGTATTTTTGTTCAACTCCAAGGACGATAATTTGCATTCAAGTGGCACAGACACACTTCCTTGAGCAGTTGTCTCCATTGTGGACAACTCAGTACTCTCCTCATGTTCATCTTTTTCCGCTGAAAAACTCTGTGCACTTAATTCACAAGTCATAACAGTCGTGGCGACTGAAAAACTGTCAACACTACTAACACTCCCATCATCATCTGCTTCTTCCTCGTCTTTAACAGCTGAAGAAATTTGTATGTCACTTGTCAATTGAACTGTATCGATGTCTTTTTCAACACAGTCCACAAATTGCGAATTTTCTGGAATATCTAAGTTAAGAGGTAAAACATGTACTCCAACTTCACTGCTCTGAAGTCCCACACTTGTGTCTCTGTTATCCAGTTGTATCCTGATGTCTGACACTTGTAACATTCTGGAGTTTTCTTCACTAGTTACTTTGTTTGAAGGTAAAGCCTCTGATTCTACTTCAATAGTATTCTGCTTGTGTTCAGTCCTCTCAAGTGAATCACTTGTGCATAAAACATTAACTTCTGGCAATAAATAAGAAGACTCTGATAACTTTTGAGGAGAAACGTTAGTATTTGCATTAGTACTCAAATTTTCAGTGGTTTCACCCACCTCCTTCCCCTCAACTTGTGCTGGTGATGAAACTGTCCCACTAATCTTATCAGTTGAGTGCTTTGGGTTCTCCAGACCATTACAAACTGAGCCTTCTGACATTGGTATCTTTGTCTCCTTATTCACAACTGATTTCACTGTGATTTTCTCTACACATAATTCTTGATCTAACTTACCAACTGGACATTCTGCAGGACTCATTTCTTGAATATCGTTTTTTGTGTGAATTCCATTTTTATCTGAATTTTCATGCTTATCATCACTATATGGAATACCAGTACAGACATTCCTAGCTGTCTCAGCCATCACCTTCTTAATGAGCACTAGCTCTGAAGTCTGCTGATGTGAAGTCTCAGGTTTACATTCTTCCCTCAACATAGGAAATGGTTTCACAAGTTTGTCAGTTTGTGATTTTATACCACCCTTGGTAATAGTAACTGTCTCACACAGCTGTTCCCTGTTGGCAAGCTGTATCTCTGCAGGTAGAGAATCTGTGGTGGACATCTGAAAATCCTTTGCCTGCTGAACTTGATCTCCAGATGTGCTATCTGTATCCTGCATTGTTCCCCCAGGGTCACTTCTTGATGATGCACCCCGTCTTCTGCGATACCATAACAAGCTGAGCAGAAAAGCAAGAGTTGGCAGAGACCATACAAACAGATGACGTGATGAACTGGGGAACATACTGGCACTCCACTTTTACTGATGTCTCCACAGCAATTTTGAACCTGCAAAGAAACAGAATAGCATATCAAAAACAGTGAATCATAGCAATGTATTTCAGTGAACATACAATCACGAATTTATACATAGTTAAAATTTGCTGACATGATATAACTGAAAATGAATAAACAACAGACATAAAGCAGTACATATTTGCACTGCATACACAAGGTCCAACAGACTCAAATTTATGTGCAGTAAACTGCTATGCTGGTGAGCTCACATTTTGGATCAAGTGACTAAATAATTTATTAAGTTTATGTCAGTCACTGTGAATCTGTTTATTTTGTAGTTGCAGTTTATTAGAATAGTGTTTAGTCCAAAAAAAGAAGCATGCTAAAAAGTTCCAGTAACTATGTTAGAAAATGTGACCTTCTGGAAAAAACAGTGACATGATGGAACTGGCTCATGACAACCCATACAAAGAATGACAAGCCCTCTGCAGAAAAGTCCAGTTTTCAAATCTAGAAAAACTGTTAACATGAAAATTGAAGGACAAATCATGCTGACCCACTGTTTTGATATCAAAGCAAGCAATCGCTATATATTTATTCCTCCAAAACAAATGAAAAATCGGGCAAATAACTTCAAATTTTGGGCAGATAAGTGACTATGTATTGTCATGTGTTGGGTGTATAATGCGACAAATAACTTCACACCTTATTTGATATAGCGAGTTTATTGCACTCGCTCTCACAATCACACAATTTACAATCTCACAATTACTTCCATTGGCAGTATCACAAATACTAGACTGCAATTAACTGGTTACTTTAATTGTTTCTTGCATCCTGTTGTGTATTTAATCAATATTAGAGTTAATTTTACCGACCACACAGCGTTTTTTATTATTGTCACACTACATGTTTCGACCTCAAGAGGTCATCCTCAGGTGTACGAACACAGTTGCACAATCACACGCAATCACATTCGTCTTTCCACTTATTTCGATCCTATCCTGTTCAGGTCCACGCTCAATAATATATGTCAAGTTCTTATAAAATACAAGTTAAAAATACTACTGTTGTCTGACACCGTGTTTGCCGATAGCCTAGCAACTCTGTCGGGAGCTGTCTACGGCTGCGTAGCAACTGCGGAGTCCCGTGTTACGTCACCGCTGTTTACTCGCTTTGCCTAGCAACCAGCGTGCTGGGACTCGGCTCACTTCTGCTCCGCTCGGCACGTCACGGCTGGCGGGGCGTCATCCATAGCGCAACACGTCATAGTATTATATACATGTTTGTTAACTAGGATAAATTACAGACGTGTTCATATACTACCAACTGTCTGCCCTAAACTCTAAACATGAAATCACTTACAGGCAATATCCAATTATGAAGCTCTGGCAGAACTAAATCAGGTCTAAGCCCATGTATCCAGAAGTTCTAGATTTAAGGAAAGAAAGACACTTTCCTCGCATTTAAAATAAGAAATGATCACAATAGTTTCCACAGTTCTTCCATTCTGAGCACTGGTGAAGACACATGAAAACTTAGGACTATGTTCGGCAAATTATACTTATAAACAGATTTCACACACTTTTATACTAAAATTAAAATAAAACTTTCTTCAGATAAGTGGAATTAACATTCTCACTGTGTACCAAAAGAATGCTACTGCTCAATTATTAACTCTTTCCACCCGGAGAATGAAGTTTCTGAGCTCTTTCCATCAGGAAGTTGCAATCTCAGCAATTAACTAAATGCTGTTCACAACTGTACATCAGAACATTCATCCCGAGAATCGTGCAACTGGTATCACAAAGCAATAAGAAGTGAACTTGTCTCGCACTACCGAATGCCGTGCCAATTCTTGCGTAACAAAACTGCAGGAAAAGATTGTAAATTGTTGTTCACCACTATTCATCAAAGGAGTGAAGAATCTGGCCATCTATTCTTATGTCCTTCAAGTAGCTTTTAAGAATGCACTACGTACTGGCAGAATATTTTGTTTCCCATGTCAATATCAAACAAGTGGTGAATGCCATGCCATACTAGGTTCATCCACACGAATATAACAGTATATAAACATTACAACCTTGCCTGGAGTTCTCTTAGTCACTTGAAAGTTGTACGTCTGCTTATAACTGTCTCAGATATTACAATTTTTACATAAAAATTTCGTTGTAACCTTGATTCGGTATAACTGACTATAGGATGGAACATCGAGGTTGGATTCCCGGCAAGAGCATGGACGAAATCACCACGCTGAGGCCTGCGTTGGGGCCCAAGCAGTCTTGTCTAATGCATAGAATGGGCTGTTTCTTCGCTGTAAAGCGACTGGAACGCGAAACTGACAACTCACCTCCATCTGATGTCAAGTTTAAAACTGTGCGGCGATCTATCTCCAATCCCTCGTGCATCATCATGGCCTGTAGTTACGGCATAGGACCAAAGGTCAGCACCAGGTGGTACACGCGTACACCCAGGATGCGATTTGGAACGAGTTTTGCTCTGACTAACTTGCTTGGATGAGTTTTATAAAACGCAGCTACAGGAATATATACTGTGGCACTGTGGTTGTATAGCCTCATCGGGGGAAAATTGGATATGGCATGGGCAGACCCTATTCTTCCTATTCTCTACTCCCGCAAATCCTCTTACTTGTCACAAAGTTACACAGTAGGTTAATTCAAGTTCCGCAACCCTTCAATGCGCCTGCAACTTGTTGGTTGTAGGGATCTCTCCGATGTGCAAGATCGTGGAACACGTTACCGTGTAAGAAATTATCGAAGCCACCGTTGAACCGTTTCCGTCTTCCTAGTTGTCCACAGAGGTTGCCACGTACACGCTTTTTGAACGTATTTGTATTATTTGAAGCAACATTATCGCGTGGAATTAACTTCCCTCTGGAAAATCTGAAAGTTCAGCTTTGTTTACGAAGGTAAGATGGCCGCGAGGAGAAAATAATGATTGAATTGACTGTTGTATCTTTGTCTTCAGAAAAGGGTTTCTTAGATCGAGAGCTTTATCATTATGTATAGATCCGATGTTCAGCGATTTTCGAATAAATGAAGCCTCTCATGTGTCACAGGCTGAAGGAAAAATAAAGCTGGACAGAAAATCCATACTGTTCTCAAACACTGCATTTAGGAAGATTTACACACGTTTCTGCGTATATCTCGCGCGATAACTTGCTATTTATTGAGGCGAGAAACTTTTCGAAGATGCAGAGAAATACTCCGTGCCTTCCCATCCTTGCGCCTGCCCGCTCGCCCAGTCTGCATGTTTTAAGCTATTTATAACAGCGTACCAAAAGTGGGCATTAGTGAACTGAAAAACCAGTGGCAATAACAGAGCGAACGCGCCAGAATTGTTACACCTTTTCGACACAAAGACTATACTTCTGGTAAGGAACTACTACTCCGCGACGAAAGGTCCTTCGATTTTACATTTCTGCACTTGAGCAACAGTGCGTGCTGCAGAAACGCGAGAACCACCAACAGCTTGTTCAACGATGGATCGAAACGAGCTGGCCTGGCACAGACTCAAACAAACGGGCACACTGAAAATTGGAGTAAAGGGCTAACAGCTTTTTATAAAGAGTGTCCCAGTGAAAACAGTTTACCACGTTCTAGCGCAGAGGTCGGAAACCTATGGCATCTGTGCCCACAGATCCAAGCAATCTAATGATAAAATACAAAATACAGCAGTTTACTTCTTAAATGTGCGACAATTTTCATTTCGTCAACTAGGGTTGTCTGCATGAAAGAAAACTGGCTGCTTTTTAGTTACAACGTTTTAGTTCCCTCCCATTAGCTCCGCATATGTAAATAATATTGTCACGTGTATGTGTGTGCTATATACAGGGGTTGGATTGGTGACTGGATTTACTGAACACGTATATATGCAACTCGTAACTACAAGAAACTATAAAATCCTCACTGATTTACACACTCTATAAAGATCACCGTCGTTTCCTGGTAAAGGATCTTAACAATGTCCTCTGCTTACGTCCTTACCGGCTGGTGAATATCCCACAACTGACTCATTTCTCCAACTGATCAACTCCCAACTGACGGCAATCTCACACCAACCTCCTAGTCTTTGCTTCACTGACTGACTCAAGACTCGTTCACTTCCCTGCATTGCACGCACTGCCCTCTCTCACTAGTTAATTTTATTTATATGATTTCAAATTGGTTTTCACCCGGTGGCAGTGGTAATACACTAAGTCACAACACACAAAATAACCAGCCACGCTCGAACAAAACTAATAACAATAAACAAAAGTACATAAGAGTCACATACTACACACAATGAATACCATTACAATTACAACTACAATACAATACCAAGATAAATAACATTAATTAACCTGAGATAGTTGTCCTTGTTATAACATCTCGGAAGGGACAGCACAGAACACACTGTTCCTCTGTTTCTTATTAGGAAACTGTTGCTTACCAGCGGGCGTTACTTATAGTCATTACTCAGCAACGGGTCTACCTCCTATAATATGTGTATGAAAGTAGCATTTCTGAAATATTCTTTTAAATAAAATGTCAATCAATTCTAGTATCAAATGTGGTTTTACATATAGATCAGTCTGTAAGAAGGGGTACACCTACTTAGTCTATACATATAATCAAAAACAAATCCAGAGGAACAATGCTGATATGTACTGGGATATAAGTGTTTAAAATTAAACAAAAAATAGTGTAACACGCTTTGGGAATTCAACAGGAAGCAACTTGTTATATAGACTTCCGTATTATTAATTTCCCTTCCTCTCTCCCATATTCCTGTCCAGTCCTACATATTACCGAATGACGATGCGTCGAGGCCAACGACTAACATCTCTCATGAATAACACGCACAAATAGTCAATCGTAAATTGTCTCCTTTATACCCTACACTTCACATATTTACATCAAAATTGTGTCAATACTGATAGAATAGAAATGACAGACTGAAATAAAAGACTAAAAGATCGTTCGTAACCGTAACTACAGTCCAACGTGTTACCGCTCGACAATTAGTTATGGCTACCTGGAATTGCGTAA